AGGCCACTAACTGGTAAAAGGGTAAATAAGTCTAACTTATGTGATTTAGCTTTATTTAATCATACCAAATCAAATTTAAATTAAATCTACCATAAAGTCACATAAATTCTAATTATCACATAGCACTAAACAATTTCAAAATCGGGCATCGATAAGGTTTTCAATTCGCAATTTAAAGTCAAAGACATGAATAGATCATTTTATGGCAAACAGATAGAAACACATAAATAATGCAATACACATGTAAATAAATCCCAAATCCTTCCTAAATTACTGTTAAGCATAATTAATCATGAATTAGCATTAATCGGAGGTCGGGGTCATTACATCATCTTTTAACTAGATGCAGTAAAGTGTATGGAGAATAAAATTGACTTGAAGGTGCACGGGATTAGCACTTATTAGTTAAATTTGTGACTTAGGCGCACTTGATATCTCCATGACATCCTTTTATGATCTAGTGAATATGAATTAGTCGTGAGTCATTACCTAGTTAGGACTAAACCTTTAAAACTTGTATTTGAGAACTCACACATTAGGATGATTGGAATTAGTTTATGACATTGGTCATGAACCGGTGGGTTATTATACTTAATCACATTAATGAGAAGATGACATGGATGGTTTGAGTAGGCCCTCTCGGGCCCACCTGCTTGTGATATCCTGCTCTCATATGAATGTGTAACTTTGTTCAGAACAATTGCTTAAAAGTAAGTAGGAAAGCCGCAGAAGGGCATTTGTATTGACACATTTAGTCCACTATGATATTTGTGACTAGATATGTGTAAGGGTATGATAGCTAAGCCTCAATCTCGACACATTTATAGATTACGATACGCATCTGAGTCAAGACTATTTGATCTCCCATAAGTCAAAAGTTTGAGATAATTTTTGACATTGCACATATGAGGTTGAGATCAATCAGATAAGAGTTTTCGTGCTTTTAGTTTTGACCAAGCTGGCGAGTATCTATTTGAGTTATTTTTTAGAAAGCTCTGTAAAGAGAAATAGATGCTTAGAAAATTAATTATTTCTAGTACTCAGCAACACAAGGGTGTAGTAGAGATAAGAAATTAAGTGTTGTTAATGTTAGGTAGATGACGGCGCAAAATGTTTCCTAATTGGGAATTGCACTTTAGTTTGTTGCCTATATCCCTAACTAAGTGCCCTCCATATCAGATTTTACACTCCATTTAAGTAATGGATTAATAGAGAGCCATTTGTGGGCAATCTATAATCATCAAGCAACTTATCTTTATTTTACTTCTCATAAGGTTGGGAAGTTAAGACCTAGGGTTCTATGGCGCATTATTGTATGCTATTGTAGACGTCCCCGAACGCCCCGGGAGGAACGAGCTCCCGTTCTGTTCATTTTGGGGTCACTACAGCTCAGGACTCTCAAATTTGTCACGGTTTTAAGTCTGAACCAAAGAGTCCAAATCCGGCAAATCGTTTTGAGAAAACAAGATTTTTGAAAGAAGTGCCAAACATGGACTGCTTTGCCTGCAGATACAGAGTCGGCCACCTAAATGTTTTTTTAATGGGAAATTTAGGAAACCCTGACTCGGTGCAAAGGCCACGTGTCCGTCATCACCAAAGTTGCCTCGGCTCGGGAACTTGGGTACGATTGGGGGAAGGTCACTTCGTGAGCACCCCCGGCTCGCCCGATCAAAGATCGGCTCTTACTAACCATGATATCTATTTTTGAAAACTTTGTATGTCTTATTCCGGTTATTAGCCTAGGTTATATGTGATGCACACAGCATATAAGTATAGACTGGATCGTCTGAATGGAACAAAACATTTCATGTTTGTTTATTTGAAATGGTTTGATGGTGCTACCCGCAGGTAGGCTAAGACGTGGATTTGCCACCCTCGGGTGGGCTTAGAAAACTGATTTTGCCAATCTAGTGGGCTTAAAACACACATTTGATGAATTATTCCAATTCAAATAATCCAACTTCACCCACAAGTACTCAGGCAGTTATATCACATAAGCAATTAGGCCTCCATGGGCAAAGCATGCTATTGGCATTCACTCACACGCATGCAAGGATGCTAAAGCATAGAACTTACCGAGTACTCCAAGCCAAAATAGAAACTACATTAGAAATCATGCATGATCCTAAGTATACAGAAATGCTAATGCAACACATGCAAAAATGCAACTATAGCAGGCTCGGCTATTCTAAACATGGCATATGGAATGCTACATCTAACATGTATTCAATCTTGGAATTGAAAATACAATGCAGTTAGTATGATGCGCCGCGCCTGGTGCATGCAAAACAGATGAATGAATGCAAACATGCTGTCATACTGTATGCTAATTGAAATATGCCCAAATCTAACCACCATAAGCGGATAAATAAAAGGGAGAAAGATGTGAGGTTGGAAGACATACAACACACACACGCACACTTATTACAGTTATGCCCTCGCTCGGAGGGTCCGAATAAATATACAGTCCCGAATAAAAGAATATTACAGTCCAAATGTTACAGTCCAAATAATGTACAAATTCCTAATTAATTAATCAAATTAACTAAGAAAGCTGTAAAACTGGCGTGCAAGCCAGGGACTGCCTTGCTCCTGATGAATGATGCATGTCTGGGCTGCCTTGCGCGGAAATCCACTAGGATGCCCCAATTAGCCTCTGTTTTGTGATTTTTCTTGGAAAGCGCACCAAACTCCGGAAGTTTGTTGATTCTTCATTTTGCTGCAACAGAGAGCAGGAAAGGGGCATAGCAATGTATTTTCACAAATATATGCATGCCTCGATCCTCGTGCCACCAATCACGCATACCGAGGCATGATGGCCGAGGAGTCGAATTGCACAATTCAATATAGGATGAATGCACATGAAAACACAATAAAACCTAACTCCATCATGGATAATCCGGAGTGTCGGTGACTGGGGAATTGAGACGCGTTCCGTCACTCGGAGTACGAAACGCCCCTCGTTTCCCGTGCCCGGGCTAACTCCTATTCCGAACACGATGCAATACGCATGGCATGCATGAAATGCAACTAAGATACAATCCTAACATACACAATGCTATGGAATGATATGCCTCGAAATGCGTGTACACGGGCACGCAAACCGAGGAAAATGTCTGAATGCAATCTAAGATACAACCTAGTATGCACTATGCTGTGAAATGAAATGGCATACGCAATGCAATATGGACTTACACCAACATGAGAGAGCCTCGGCCACACTCACATAAGAGGCCGATGGATGAAAAATGAAGTGCCTCGAAATGCGTGCACACGGGCACACAAACCGAGGCAATGGCATACGCAATGCAATATGGCTAAAATGGCATATAGAATGCAACATGGACTTATACTAACATGAGAGAGCCTCAGCCACACTCACATAAGAGGCCGATAGATGAAAATGAAGTGCCTCGAAATACGTGCACACGGGCACGCAAACCGAGAAAATGACATACTGCAAACTAAGATACAACCTAGTATGCACTATGCTGTAAAAAAAGAGATGCCTCGAAATGCAT